CCTCACGGCCTAGGTGGGGAGCCAGATCCCCGATAAGTTATCCAAGTATTCTTGAATACAAAACGACCAAGTAAATTGAAAGATGAACGAAGCACGCATACAAGCTCAAGCAATGAAGAAAACCATGAAGAATAGTTCCAAGATCACGACCATCTTCTCTGTGACAACTTGGAAAACAGTCCCAAATCATGCTCGTGAGTGACTCCATCCAGACATCATGAACCTCTGGGAAGTGTCTAGGAGACCAAGTATCGAGGTCGTTGTCATGACCCACCTTTTCCAACTCATCAGGGTCAAACATGATCCTGGACGAACCAAACTTCTCAGGGTAAAATCCGGGAAGACAAAATGTCAACCTATCATGGCCTTGTTTGGTAAATGGATGTTAGCTGTTGCTGTTAGCTGGTTGTGTCAGCTGTTTCGTAACAGCTGGTTGTGTTAGCTGTTTTGACCGACCGGTTATGTTAGCTGATTATAAATAACTGTTTGGTAAAATTGGCTGTTTCGAAATGGCTGATAGAGTGTAAATTGAACCAGCCAAATGAAGAAGCTGCTCCCCTTAGCTTCTTCCACCATCCATTTTTTCAGCTTTTCAAACTCAACAAGCTAATTTTAAAATCCATTTACCAAACATTATTATTAGCTTCTTTGACTAATCAAACAGCTGAAATGGGTCAAACAAGCTAAAAGCTGGCTCATAAGCCATTTGCCAAACATACCTCATACCAAGTTTGGGCATGCTCCGATCATCTGCTCCATGACCAGCCGCGTATACTTTCAAGGCACCATGTGCTTTCTTCGCCCACTCCTGAGCCTAGACTACCTGGCGTTGGTTCAAACTCTTCTTTGTCAGGCTTTGAAATTCAAGCTAAGTACGTGGTCATGACGAGGCCAATGATCATTACATCACCATTCATTCTGAGTCACGCAAAGCTCATCTCCAACCCAAGTTCATGCTGGGCTATCTCTCCGCCAAATTCGTGCAGGGCTATCTCCATGTCAAGTTCGTGTCAAAGAGCGAGATTGTCCATCCTTCCCAGACCACCTGCGATCGAGTAATGCTCACGCAAGGATCAACACATAGCTTAGAAGATCGGATGCAATCACATGCCTTCCTCATCAACAACCGTTCATCAAGACGAAGTAAAGTGGAGGTCCCGCCAAGCTCGCTCTCCATGCTATTTGGAGAGTGTCGAGATGGCATAGCATTCCGACCATCCTCAAATCGCAGCAGGTCACGCCACCTTGGGCTCCTCGCCGTATGAAAAAGTATGCGCATCCCTCCGATCATCGGAATGAATGAATGAATCTGCAAAATAGCTCTCTCACTGACTCAACAAACGAGAAGGAATGAGTTGCCCAAGCATCACTCTCTTGCCTTGCATTGCTCCCTTGACCTGCATCACTATCTTACATGCTTCGGATGGGATGCGGGGCGAGCTAAACTTCTGTTTGTCTGGTCATGTCTACTCATTTTCAGCTTCATGCCCTTACTCTTCTCGACAAAATTATTCTTCATGGAGCAGGGAAGGTGAGTGCTTCTCCCCAACATCAGGCAAGAAGCTATTAACATGTACCCAACATTAGGCAGGGAAGATGCATGCCTCTCCCCAGCATCATGCGGGGAAGGTGCGTGCCTCTCCCCAGCATCAAGCGGGAAAGGTGCGTGCCTCTCTCCAGCATCAGGCGGGGAAGGTGTGTGCCTCTCCCCGACATCAGGAAGGGAAGGTGCGTGCCTCTCCCCCGCATCGGGCAGAGAAGCTCTAAGCATCTCCCTGACATTATGCAGGGAAGCTGCGTGCTTCTCCCCAGCATCAGGAAGAGAAGTTGTGTGCTTCTGCCCGACATTAGATGGACTTGCATCAGATGTCAAAGGTTGAGACCTAGCATCCTTCGTCGCATCCAATGCAGCAAATGCGCTTCTCCGACCATCCATACCTACAAGCAAACGAAGGCCAGGGCAGCAAGTGCACTTCCCCAGCATCAAGCGAGGAAGGTGCGTGCGTCTCCCCAGCATCAGGGGGGAAGGTGCGTGCCTCTCCCCGGCATCAGGAAGGGAAGGTGCGTGCCTCTCCCCAGCATCAGGCAGAGAAGCTCTAAGCATCTCCCTGACATTATGCAAGGAAGTTGCGTGCTTCTCCCCGGCATCAGGAAGAGAAGTTGTGTGCTTCTCCCCGATATTAGATGGACTTGCATCAGATGTCAAAGGTCGAGACTTAGCATCTTTCGTCGCATCCAATGCAGCAATTGCACTTCTCCGACCATCCATACCTACAAGGAAACGAAGGTCAGGGCAGGGCAGCAAGTGCACTTCTCCAACCTACCATACCTATGAGGAAACGAAGGTCAGGGCAGGGCAGCAAGTGCACTTCTCCAACCAGCCATACCTGCGAGGAAACGAAGGTTGGGCAGGGAAGCAGGTGCGCCTCTCTGACGTGCCATACCTACGAGGAAACGAACAGAGTAAGCAGGGATTCTGCCAGTTAGGTTATCTCCCCTTACCCGGCCTAAGGAGCAGTTTATACCTTTGTTCTTCTTGGAAAGTCGTTCTTCGCAAAGCAGGGAAGCTTCTCGCTTTTCCAGCATCAGACGGAGAAGCTCCGGGCTTCTCCCCTGCATGAGGCAGACCTTCATCAGACGTCGAAAGCCGAGACTTAGCATCCTGCACTATAGCTAAAGCAGCGAGAGCACCTCTCCAACCCGCCATGTCTCTAACAAGTAATAATAGCAATCAACATGGACAACTTATCATGGTGAACTACTCACCGCATCCTCCCGAGAACGTCAGGCAAGCATTGTGCGCGCAGTGGCCGGAGGGCTCACCTTTTTGTTGAATTTGGAAGAAGACCCTGGACTGCTAATCGAACAAACAAGACCTCAGGCTGCTAGTCGGAGAAACAAGACCTCGAGCTGCTAATCGGACAAACAAGACCCTAGGGTGCTAATCGAAAGAACAAGACCTCGGGTGGCTAATAAGACAAACATGACCTAGAACTGCTACCCGGATGAAGGAAACTCTATCCTCTCGCAAGCAGTGGGGATCAATGTGCACAGCTGTGGAGCCACCCTCTCTCGAGGGTACCTTGGCTCGGCATCATCAACAGAAAGCTTTGCGACCGGCCTCTCATGGGCATGCCTTGGCTCGGCATCATCAGCAAACAGTTATGCGGGTGATCTCTCTCGAGCACACCTTGGCTCGACCGCCACCACTGGCAAACAACCGTGCGACTGGCCTTTCCCGAACATATATCGGCTTACCAGTAAGGCAGACACTCGATCAAGAACCGAGGGGACTAGCCTTCCTTTGCTTTATTTTAAGGTTCCGGTGTACTATTTTTCCTTCACTAGGATTTTTTCCCACCGGGTTTTTTCCTAGTAAGGTTTTAACGAGGCATCCCCTCATCATAAACAAATGAAGAAGTCTTCCTGGAAGGAACAAAGAAGATCCCGGGCTGCTGATCAGATAACAGGACCGGGCTGCTACCCAAACAAGGAGGGTCTCATCCTTGCGCAAACAATGGGACCATAGTGTTACATGACTGACCTTTTCGGGCACACCACAAATCGTCATTATCAACGAACATCTATGTAACTAGCTAGCTAGCCTGGCAACCGGGCCGATTTCAAAGCATCTCAACTACTCCCTTTTAGTCGAGTCTACTACTCGACTAAGGGAGTGGGGGACTCGTGTTGGGATAATGGGCCAGGCCCAGTGCCATCAGCCCTTTATCTCCGAGCTTAGGCCCAACTAGGCCCAGGACGCAGTCTCACGAGCGGGAGTCGCCCCTTGCTCATTTAATTATTTATCGGGCCGGTTCGTCCATTAGCTTGGAGATGTATTATTAATATGGGTCAAGCCCACGTAGATTAGACTTTGGACTTATGATGAATTTCTATAAATAGGCCATCAACCCCATGTATTCTCTACGCTATTTTACTATAGTGAAATACTGCTAGTTTCTCTACCCGGAATATTTTCTACTAACATACTCCCTCCGTCCCCTTTTAAATGTCTCGGAAGAGGGTGTCACGAGTTTTAAGAAAAGTAGGTTTGTGTGGTTGATATTAATCGATAAAGTAAGAATAAAGTAAGAATGATTTTGAGCCACACAAACTTTACCAAATAAAGTATGGGACAATTAAATAGGGACATCCCAATATGGTAAAATGGGACATTTAAAAGGGGACGGAGGGAGTATATAATTTTTTAAATTAATTAATAAGTAGGGTATAAATGGGCTGATGGGCTGGAATTGGTTGGAATTTACACACTGGTCCAGGACGGGTCATGCTGGGCCAATGGGCCAGACTTGGTTTCAAATACTCTACCCCATGCCCAGCCCTTTAAATAGTGGGTTGGGCTGGCCGGTGGCCCTTATGGGCCGGGCTTATGGCAAATGGGATGGAGTAAATGATGATCCCTACCGAAAGGAATGGTGTTTGATAACACCACTTTCAGTAAATAAGTAGGTCAAATGCTGCAATGCTCATACGCAAAATAAGCCTTACATGGCTAACAAGCTAAATCAAGTTTGCATTTTAAGCTAATCCACTCAAAACCTATCAAAATTCACTCAAGTGCTTTTTACTTTTATCTGGTCTCGTAAGAACAGTATACTTCTATATATATTACATTCAATCTAAATACACTCCTCGTGAAAGACGCAGAAATCTCATAATAAAAGACAAGAACTTGAATTCAATTATGACCTTTTACCTGCAACCTAAAAGGTCCGCAATTTACAATAGCCCTAATCTACTCTCATAAGTCATGACAAAAGCCATAAAAACAGCTCAGAACCAACTTTAGGATTCATCAGATCTCAACACAAAAGCATCGAAATCAAAATAGAATTGCTAAAGCATCAAAATAAAACTACTAAGGAAAGACGTAAATCGACCAAATACACGTAAAAGAACAGAACTCCACAAAAAAAGACTATATTTTCAAACATAGCCGCAAGCATAGAAAGATAAAGGGGAAATCAAGAAAGACATACGGATCTCCTCATGAGTGGAGAATTGGCGTCGACCGGTGGGCTTGGCCTTGAACTTTCCTCTCCCCATAGCTGCTTTTTCTTTGTTTTACTGGGAATGTCCTACACAAGAAGAAAATAGCCGACCGTATGGAACGGAATACGACTTGGGGTTCTTGCGACTTTGCCCTGTTGAGCACCCCAAAAGTACTTGATGAACCCACCAGGACACGTTTGCCCTTTTTATTTTTTTAACATTTTCTGAAACGTACTTCTTCCTTCCCTTCCTTATAAGTTTGACAACTTTCTTTTTTTGTTTATCCTAAAAAATTTGCCACTTTTCCTTTTAATCAATCAATTTGTGACTCCTGTTGTTTCTGTCTCCTCTTCACAAACCTCTACCACATACTCCCTCCGTCCTTTATAACTTTGTCAACTTTCCTTTTTTGGTTGTCCCAAAAACTTTGTCACTAATCCTTTTAATCAATTAATTTGTGGCTCCTATTATTTCTCTCTCCTCTCACAAATTTCTACCATACAGTTTTTACTTTATTATTCTATGTGCCGCTCAAACATGACAAACCTTTAAGGGACGGAGGGAGTAGTTTTTACTTTATTGTTCTATGTGCCGGTCAAACTTGACGATCTTTTTAGGGACGGAGGGAGTATTTACATATCATTAAAAACGTTCATTACGAAAATATTAATAGTGTAGATAAATATTTTATTATTAGTGTGGACTTCTATTGTAATTGTGACTCTTATTTATTATAAATATATCTGTCAGGGCTACCACATTGGTTAAGCCTAGTAATTATTTTCACGTGGTATCAGAGCCATACCCATCTAGACCTAATTTTTTTACACCAAATGACCGAGGCTACGACTGCAGCCGCCTCTTCGGCGCCGATCTCCACGGCGGTCGACAGCAGTGCGTCGGCCATCCCCGCTGCTTCCTCCTTGTCCATTGCAGCTATCTGTGCGATGTCGCCAGTCCTTTCTCAGGCGCAGGGCTCCAGTGATTCATCCACCATACTCCAGTCGCCCTTCCTCTCTTCTCCTGATGCAGCGGCGTGGGTCCCTCCAATTTTCACCTGGACTCTGACGCCGTCTGCGCCTTGTGCTCGGGCTGTCGGCCCTCTCTTCAACGATGGTCAACCTTCATCGCGCCAGTTCTTTCCGCCAGACCCGCCATGCTCCTCCAGTGCGGTTCCAGGTTTCGTTAGTCCCACTTTGGCTGGTTCGCCAGGCGTATCTCCGCTGTTGAATATTGGGGCAATGGGCTCTCACATCTCCGACCCTACATCTATAAGTTTAATTTTTCTCTGGCTTAATTAGTAAAAAATATTGGTTTTTCTGCTCTCAATATCACAAATATTGTTACTACCAAATTAGCTGTTATTGAAGATTACTTGTCATGGTGTACTCAGTTTGAATCGTTTCTGGTGTCTCATGGTTTTTGGGGTCTAGTAGATGGATCCATTCCTGCTCCCCCTCCGTATGTGTTTGATGTGTTTCAACGAGAGGTTATTAATCATGACTATTGCAACTGGCTCAAACTTCACCAATCTGTTCGTTCTTGGCTTTTTGCAACCTTATCTCGGGATGTGTTAATTGAAGCTCATGAATTGAAAAATTCTTTTGCTATTTGGGAAAGATTGCAGTCTCACTTTACGCCAGCCAGTCTTGCACGTTCGATAGAGCTGAAAAGTAAGCTTTCTCACTCTAAAAAGAGTCCTAATCAGCCCATGGAACATTACCTTCGTGACATTAAAATTATTGCGGATAATCTTGTTGCCATTAATGCTCCCGTGTCTCATCGTGAGCTACTCCAGTATACTTTACTTGGTCTTGGACAAGACTATCAGTCCCTCGCCACGTCTGTTGGGTTGTTTCCGGAGAGCTTTACCTTTAAATCCCTTCGGACCGCGTTAGTTGAGCAAGAGCATAGTCTGCAATATATGATTGCACAGGAGGTGAACGCACCAGCTCCGGCGTTTGCCGGCCAGGCTCCACCGCTTGCGGCTCCAGCACCTGTGGCACCCGCTCATCAACAAGGTGGTCAGCCGCACTGAGGGCGTGGACGTGGTCGGGGCGGTCGCGGGCAGCGCGGCAGGGGGGCGGTCAACGTTGCTGGGGTTACGGTCATCCACCACATGGTTTTCCCTCTGGTCCTCCGCATGCCTATGGATATCCTACACCTGGTTACTTTCCAAGGGGTGCACCTCACGCTGGTATTCTTGAGGCTCCAAGCTCGGCAGGTATGTCTGTTCAGTCATGTTTTAATACGTATGCCTTATCTACTTTTATTACTAATCGTGGTTATGCAGGCTCTTCATCAGGTGAAGGGAACTCAGTCCCTTCTCCTATAGTCTGTCAAATTTGCTATGCCCCAGGTCATTCCATTGCATCATGCTCGTCTCGTTCCACTCCACCAGTTGCACCTGCTCTTGCTGTTCAGACTCCTGAAGCTTCAAACATTGTTTGGTATCCTGACTCAAGTGCCTCCGCCCACATCACTCCTCATTCGGGTATTTTAGCGCATAAGTCTGTTTCTTCCGAATGTCATTCTGTAATAGTTGCGAATGGTAGTACTCTCCCAGTTGTGCATACGGGTCAGACCACTTTATTTTCTCCTGCTCGCTCTCTCCGCTTAAAAACGGTTTTTCATGTTCCTCACATTAAATATAATTTATTGTCTATTCAAAAATTGTGTGCTGATAATAATTGTGCTTTCATGTTTGACAAAAATTATTTTTATGGTAAGGACCTAGCAACGGGGGCGGTTCTTCGAGCATCCAGTGAAAATGATGTTTATCCCATTCGACAGATTACGCCTACACCTGTTGTTTTTTCAGTTTCTTTTCCTTTATGGCATAATAGATTAGGACATTGTGGTACTCATGTTTTAGATCAGCTTCGACTGGATAATGTTATTTCTGACACTTCTTCTTCTATTACCGATTGTATTACGTGCCGTTTAGAAAAATCTCAACGATTGCCCTTTAATAAAGTTTTTCATAACAGTCCTTGTACTCTTTATTTAATTCATTCTGATATTTGGCAGTCGCCTCTGCTTTCCCATCTTGGTTTTAAATATTATGTCTGTTTTGTGGATGATTTTTCTCGTTTTACCTGGGTTTATCCCATGCGGCGCAAGTATGAGGTCACCATTCATTTTCATCATTTTAAATTAATGATTGAAAATTTTCTTGAGTGCAAAATCGATCAAGATTTTTCAGAGTGATGGAGGGGATGAATTTGATAATTTTGATATGAGGAATTTTTTAATGATCATGGAGTTAGTTATTTACTTATTTTTTTAGAAATCTTGTCCTGAAACTCCACAACAAAATGGTGTGGCGGAACGTAAGCACCAACATTTACTTGAACTAGCCCGTACTATGCTTATTACTGCACATTTACCGGCTATTTTTGGGTTGATGCTGTTCTTACTACCACTTTTATAATTAATAGACTACCCTCTCCTACTCTACATGGTTTGTCCCCTTATGAAAAACTATTTAATGCAAAACCGGATCTTTCTTTTATGCGAGTGTTTGGTTGTGCATGTTGTCCTAATTTCAATGCGACGTCTGTCAACAAGTTTTCTCCTCGGTCTGTTCAGTGTGTTTTCTTAGGCTATGCATCTGAGCATAAGGGCTATCGTTGTTTTGATCCTATTTCTGGACGGATTTATATTAGTAGAAATGTCAAGTTTTTAGAAAATATTTTTCCTTATTTGGAGTTGATGAGTACCACAGTCTCGTCTTCTTCTACTATGACCTCTACCACTGCTCCGCTTATCTACGTCCCCACCTCTCATTTACTACCATCTCCCACGGCACCTGCTAATTCCTCACCAAATATCCACCCACCATTCTGCACCCACCCGTACCACCTGCAATTCCTTCCCCGGCAGTCGGCTCCTCCGTCCCCAGTGGTATGCCGTCATCCCCCATTTCCTCGCCCAGCCATATTCCCCTTCCGGAACTTTTACCTGACTTTGGCAAGTCGTCTGGATCCTCTAGTCCAGCCTCAGACAGCTCGTCGCCCGTTCCAATCGATGTACAGCCGATCACCGATCCCTATGAGCCGTCGTCCAGTAGCTCTGCTCCCGTTGCCAATGTGTATCCCATGCAAACCCGTTCCAAATCAGAATTTTTTAAGCCAAAATGATTTTTAATTTAAACACAATTATTAGCACACCTGATCCCACTTGTTTTTCTATTGCTAACAAACATCTTAAGTGGAGAGCGACAATGGTCGAAGAATTTAATGCCTTGATTTCTAATCATACTTGGGATTTAGTACCATTTGATGCTAGGAAGAATGTGGTTGGCTCAAAATGGATTTATAATACTAAATATTTCTCTGATGGGTCTGTGGATCACTATAAAGCACGTTTAGTTGCTCAGGGGTTTAATCAGCAGGCAAGTATTGATTTTACTGAAACCTTTAGTCTTGTTGTAAAACTCACTACAGTCCGTCTTGTTCTCACTCTTGTTGTCTCGTTTGGTTGACCTATTCCTCAACATGACATTAAAAATACCTTTCTTCATGGTAATCTCACAGAGGATGTTTATATGTGTCAGCCTCCGGGCTTCATCCATCCCCAGTTTCCTAATCATCTGTGTCAGCTTCGCAAGGCCATTTATGACCTCAAACAAGCCCCTCGTGCTTGGTTTCATAGATTCGGTAGCTTTCTTTTATCTCATGGTTTTACCTGCAGCCGGTCGGATAATTTTCAGTTTATTTTTCATCGTCAGTCTCACATTATTTACCTGTTACTATATGTCGATATTATTGTTACAGGAAATTCTTCTTCCTTAGTCACACATTTTCTCTCTCTTCTAACTAAATGATTTGTTATGAAGGACTTGGGTGACTTGCATTTTTTCCTATGTATACATGCCTCTCGTACTTCCTCTGGTCTTTTTCTTTCACAACATAAGTATGTCTCGGATCTGATCCTTCGTTTTCATCTACATACTCTTAAACCTCTTCGCTCCCCTCTTCTGAGTCGTACGAACCTTTCCCTCACCGATGAAGAACTTCTTGCAGATGCCACGTAGTATAGGAGTATGGTAGGTGCTTTACAGTATTTAACATTAACTCGATCAGACATTACTTTTGTTGTACACTTGGTTTCTCAGTTTATGCATGCCCCCCCGTACTTCACATATGTT